GCCTCCTGTGCTGCCTCACTTTCCTGAAAGATTTCAATTTTTATTCCATCAATTCCTGGTGCCTTGTTCTTTGCCACTTCTTTCAATGTACTTTGGACTTCGTCTCTGAGTATCATTGGTTCTTGTTCATATGGTATCTCTTGAAATGGTTGAACATTAACCATTTCCTTTTGGTATAATGTAGAGTAGCCATAGCAAATGGAAGAAACGAAGATCCGAACAATTCAAAATTTCAGAGGACACTTCAAGAAGACAAAATAAAATATTATAATGAAATGTACAGAGACCTGGATTTAGACCAAAAGAGAAGAAGAAAAAATTCAAACTTCGATTTGATATATTGAAGGATCCTATGAACAAAATATTGAATGATGCAGGAATATCAAAAGAAAATGGAAGAAATACATAGTTTTACCAAAAATAATTTGTCAGTATTCAACCATAGCATTTGATCAAGAACCACTGGTATTGAAGGAAGATTGCCAAGCTGTACATTATTGAAAAACAAATCTCCAGTGAAACGAAATACGATAGGATGAATGTAAAGCTGGTGCTCTCCAATGTAAAGTATCACATAATTCACAATTAAAAAAAAAAATCTCCAGCAATTGATGGAACACATATTGAAATGTTAAACAATCTGATGCAGTGATGGATGGAAGCACTTCCTATTCTATGTCAAGAAATTTGGAAGTCAGCTACCTGACCATCTGACTGGAAGAGATCCATATTTGTGCCCATTCCAAAGAAAGGTGACACAACAGAATGCAGAGATTATCAAACAATATCATTAACATCACATGCAAGTAAAAGTTTGCAAAAGTTAATTAAAAAATGGTTGCAGCAGTACATTGACAGAGCTGCCAGAAATTCAATTCAGATTCACAAGATGATGTGGAGTGAATAATATCCCTGCTTGACTTCCAAATTACTTCACCCTCTTTCTAAACTATTACTCCATTCCCCTGCCTGTATACTCACAACTGATTTAGGAAACTGTCAAATGCAGCACCTAAAGAGAACTATTTTGTTGTTGTTGTTAGGTGCTGTTGAATTCGTTCCTACTCATAGGACCCTATGCACAACAGAAAGACACACTGCCTGGTCCTGTGCCATCCTCACAATCTTTGATAAGCTATGTCATTTGATATATGTCATTTGATTTCTTGACTGTTGCTTCCAAGAGCATTGCTTGTGGATCCAAGTAAAAGGCAATCCTTGATTACTTCAGACTTTTCTCTGTTTATCAAGATGTTGTTTATTTGTGTTGTCACGAGTATTTTTGTATTCTTTACATCAATCCCTACTGAAATAATTGCGGATTATTTGCTCAGCATACAGATTGAGTAAGTATGGTGAAAGGATACAATCCTGACATACATTTCCTGATTTTAAATCAGGAACCAGTGATATTGAAGGGCAAAGTCTGAGCTGAACTGAAGACATTAGCGAAAAATAAGTCTCCAGGAATCCTTCTCCTCTGTTTGAACAACTATCTCTTAATCTATATATAAGTTCCTCATGAGTACATTTAAGTGTTCTGGAATTCCCATTCTTTGCAATGTTATCCATAGTTTATTATGATCCACACAGTCAGATACTGTTGCATAGTCGATATACTACAAGTAAACATCATTCTGATATTCTCTACTTTCATTCAAGCTCCACCTAAATTAAGCAATGATTATCTTCTGAATCTGGCTTGAATTTCTGGCTTTACACTGTAGGATAAGTACTAGGGCCAAAAGGTAGGTTTGTACTGCAAGGTCAGCAGTTCAAACTCAACAGCCACTCCTCAGAAACCCTAAGCAAGTCGCTGTGAGCCAGAACTCCACAGCACCCCACCACTACCATTATCATAAAGGAGCCCTAGTAGTGTAGTGGGTTATGAATTGGGCTGCAATCCTCAAGGTCAGCAGTTCGAAACTACTAGCTGCTCTGTGGCAGAAAGATGAAGTTTTCTGCTCGTGAAAGGTTTATAGCCTCCCTTTATAATGTCGCTATGAGTTAGAATGACTCCATGGCACATAAGCACCACCACCACCATTATCACTATAAGGATCCTTGGTGACACGCTGGGTTACGTCTTGGTCTGCTAAAGTAAAGGTGATTGGTTGAATGCACCAGCTGCTTGGTGGAAGACAGTTGAGGCAATCTGCTTTCAAAAAGATTTACAATCTCAGAAACGAAAACAGAGCAATTCTACTCTGGCCTAAAGGGGCACTGAGCCAGAATCCACTCCGTGATTGTTACCATTATATCCAGTGGTGCAGTGGTAAAACACTCAACTGCTAAGCTAAAGATGGGATTTGGAAGATGTGACTGTCTACTGCCATAAAGATTACAACCTTGGAAACCATATGGGGCAATTCTACTCTGATTTATAAGGTGGCTGTGAGTTGAAATTTATTCCACGGCACACAACAAAAATCATTATTGCTCTACACAGGAACATAACTGGTGCTCTAACAGACTACATCTTATATGCCACCATCCCAGCCCTCAAGCTCCACAGAGCATTAGGAAGACCAGTAGGAAAATAACACTCAGAGGCCAACAGGTGGTGTCCCCAAGGAGGGCCTCTCCAGAGCTCCAGGTGACCTCTTATCCCCTGTTCCCAGCCTCCCATCCCAGCCCCCCCAACCTGGGGGCGGCGGCCTAGCTCTCCGCCGGGACTGCGCGTCGGCAGCGGGCGGGGCTCAGCTTCCTGGCACCCGGGGCGGGCCATATAGTGGCTCCACTGAGCGGAGTGTGCGGTGGGCAGCGAGCTCGGTTAAGTCTGAGACCAGAGCAGCTGGCGCCGGGTCTTCCAGAACGGGTTGAGCGCCATGAGCAACAAATGCGACGTAGTCGTGGTGGGGGGCGGCATCTCAGGTCAGTCGTAGTGCCCCACTGGGCTCCTTCTTCCTCCAGCTCTCGAACAGGTGGCTGTCTGGGGAGGCGTGCAGGGCGGCGGTGGGGCGCGGAGGAACCCGGAAGCCCCCAGACTCTGTTCCCGGGCGGGGAATTGAGGGGATCCAGAGCAGCAGCCATGTACCCCTCCTTCTGGAGAAGGGTTTGGTGTGTCCCTGGACCGAAGCCCAAAGCTGGAAGTCAGCTGAAGGTCTGGGGCCAGACTTCAAACTTCTCTCCTGCCCCTCCCCCCAACTCCCTCAGTTTTCCAAAGGCTAATTAATGCCTGTGCTTGCTGGATTCTTTGAGACCGGGAAAAGGGTAAGTGCCTAATGAAGGCTGGCACAAAGGTTAGTTCTGCAGCTTGACCTCTACATTCTCTGCCCTCATTTACATGCATTGCTTTGCTGACACCAGTAAAGCAACCTTGAAAGGTTCCTGGATCAGGAGAAAAGGTTGGACTGTGGACAAAACTTTTATGACCCTGATTCTCTACAGTTTTCTAATTGCTGCGGGTCTGCCTGGGGCTGCAGAACCTTCTTGGCAAATGACTCCTTCCCTACCATCCTGTCCAAAGCAGATTGGTCAAGTCACCCAGCAGGGCTGATGTGGAGAAACTCATTGGCAGGGAGAAGGACAGAAACTCGCTCCTTCTACACAGGGGGACTGTGTACAGACAGGACCCCCAAAGTCAGAAGTCAGGAGAAATAGGGTCAGTGGGAGAACCCCTTCTTTGAAAAGGGTCAGGCAGATCACCCAGGGTGGGGTCAGTGGGAATAAGCAATGCTTCCAGAACAGCCTGTCCAACAAGAAGTTCCATACCTTCTGGGGCTTGAGAAGTTATTAGGACATCTCTAGAACCCATAGATATATTGTCTAGGTAGTGCCTCAACCAGATCTCAACTAACCACCTTAACCTATGGGAGCAGAAAGCAGTTCTGCTCCTGTGTTGGTCTAAGAAAGCCTTGGTCCTATGCTATTTTCTCAATCCCAAGCCTCCTCATCTTTGGATCCAATCTCAGGTTACAGTGAGGAGGGTCCACTTCTGTCTAGCTGGCCCTCATGAACTCACTCATCTCATGCCATGCTCCGGGCCCAGTGCTGCAGGTGCATACATGCGTAAAGCCCAGCTCCTGGGCCCCAGGAGTAGAGGGGCTGGTAGTGGGAGAAGAGTAAGAGGTGGGGGGGACTACTCACATGTTGGGGCTGATTATTTCTGTAGGAGTTGCCAACCCAAGGCAATATTGCCTGCCAGATTTCTATATAGACAATTTGGAAATAGTTAAGGATGGCCTTTGAAATAGGTGTCAGGCTGAGATCCATCAAGGCTGTGCAAACTCAGTTTTCTTTGAGTATTTTAAACACCTCTCTTAAAGGAATTTGAACTTAAAGGCATACCTACTTAGCCTGAAAAATTTCACCAGGTTCTATAAGAAGAGTTTTACTCATTATTTTCAACAGTGGGCATCAGGGTAGACTCTAGTGGTCCTGTTGTTAATTGCTGTTGAATCTGCTGTGACTTTTGGTGACCCCATGTACAATAGAACAGAACATTGCCCAGTCCCGTGCCGTCTTCATGAGTGTTGACATACTTCAGGCTGTTGTTGTAGCCACTGTGTATTTTGGTTCCTTCCAATTTAGAGAGCTCATCTTCTGACACTATTTCAGACAATATTCTATTGTGATTCCGAGTTATCATAGGCTGATATTTAGAAGTAAATGGCCAGGTTTTCCTTCCTAGTCTAGCTTAGTGTGCAAGCTCTGCTGAACCATGCCACCATAGGTAACCCTGATGATATTGGGAAGACCTGTAGCATATCTTCCAGCATCATAGTAACTCACAAGCCACCTCAGAACTACCAATTGACAGATGACTAGGGGAGACCTTGATTGGAGTTGCAAAAGTGAATCACGTTTTCCTTGCTCTGGATGTCTTATTAATCTAAGAAGGGAGATGGTATACCCAAACCAAGACCATACAACATAGAATGCGATACATGCCATGGGGGTCGGGGGGGGGGTGAGGGTAGTCATTCATTCATAGCTTATCCTTATGTATCTCACATCCTGTCAGGAATTATACAGAGCCCTTGTGGAATCTCATGAATAATTGATGCCAATGACTTAGGGTAGATGATTTAGTAACGTGTGTACAATGTTCTAGGGAAGGTGATGTGTTCAATTCTGCCTGAGAAAATTGGGAAGACTTCATAGAGGAGGTGGCATTTTACCTAGGTCGTCTTGCAGTTTTCATTCATTGCTGTAGTCAATACTGACTCATGATAGCCCATATATACAGCATAGAATTGCTACATCAAGTTTTCAAGGCTGTGACTTTAAAAGTAGATCTCCAGGCTTGTTTTCAGAGGTGCCTCTGGGTAGGTTAGAACTGCTGACTTTTGGGCTAGTAGTCTAGCACTGAACTCTTTGAGTTACTCAGGGACTAGGATGAATATGAATTCACCAGGAGACTAGAGGAAGAAAGCATTTTAAGCTAAGGAACAGTTGATGTAAAATCACCAATATGTGAAAAAAAAACACAAAACTGATGTTTTTTTTTCGGGAAACCTTAAGAACTTCATTGTGAAGGGTTGAAGGTGCTTTTGAGAGACAAAGTCAGATCAGTCAGATGGAAAATGAATTGTGGGGAACGTGTTAGGGGGTAAAGAAGTGGGAGAGTAGGGGTGGGAGGAGCTGTATGTCATTCTAAAAGGTTGATTTTCTGCTGTGGTCAATGAATGTCCACTGACAATTTTTCATTCACAGATGCACATGTGTCAAATGACTGGGAATACGTTGATGGTGGTCGTAGAAATAGGGAAGTGAAGAGAAATAACAGGATTAGGGAAAAGATGGACATCTAGAGTCAGAAGTGCTCAGTGAGGGAGAGAAGTCTAGCAGTTGGAAATAAGAGGAAGAAGTTGGGGTTACAGATCTGTGTAGCAAAGATATTTTACTTGAAGCCACTGAAGTAGATGAAAGGGCTCGAATCAAGAGTGTAGAGAAAAGAGATGGGACCAAATACAGTATTGCAGAGGGTGTTTACATCCTCACAGGGAGATGGAAGATATTTCAATCACTCTACAGATTCATGAGAGAAATGAGGAAATGGAGACCTAGAAAAACAGTTAACCCCAGATCGTAATACCATGGACTGCCAGATGAACAAATACATCTGTCCTGGAAGAAATATAGCCAGAATGTTTCCTAGATGTGACGATGGTGAGACTTCGTCACATGTCCTATGAAAAAAAAGAGGAAACCTCTCAACAAGATGGATTGACACATTGGCTGTAACAATAGGTTGAAACATAACAAAATGGCATGTAACAACAACAACTCCAGTTCTTAGCTCAGACGTCACTTTTGTGTGCAGCCTTCTTTAATTCCAGCAGACTGAATTAGGTATGTCTGTTTAACTCTCTACTTCCCCCCTGTTCCTTTCCAAGAGTTATTTTTTCTTCATTTAGTGCCTTTCTCCTTACTAGGCCCTAGGCTTCTAAGAGGACAGAGAGATGTTCTTTCTCCTACCAGTAGAGACCCCAGCCCCAGAATTCTGCCTGGCACAGTGCTTGATAAATCTGTTAAATTAATGAACCTTAACTTTAGAATAGCAAAGTGGCAGTTGGTTGGGTCTGAAGTTCAAATCCATTGACTTTTTCTATCAAATTGAGAATGTGAACACTAGTAAAGATCAGAATTTTAGAATGAGTAAATGACTGACAAAATGATTTATAAATCTCTGAATTTGACTCTGGTTTTAAAACTTTGTTAATTATTAAACATGGGGTATTCTGGTCATTCACTGATAATTTTAAAACTGTCAGCATATTTTAGTCACTCCCTTTGAGATAAACAGAGATGTTCTAGGATATAGCTGGTTAATAAATAACTTAATGTTTTGAAGATTGAAAAGCATTTAAGACAATTGTAGAACAACTTTACAAAAACACATATAGGATGTAACTCCAGCCCTACTCAATTCTCTTTCACCTACAGATCAGGTCAGCTCTGGAGGTGTGTAAGGTGATGGCATCTCCCACATGAAAGGGGAGAACAGCATGTAGCTGCAGTTCTGAGTTTTGATTTTAATTTTTGGGTTTATCAAACCATGGTAAATGTGTTTTGTTTTAATTCTTGAATGGCTTTTGCTTAATCCCCAAAATAAAAGCTGAACAATGGAAACTCGAAGCACAGAGGAGAAAGTTTTGACTTTCTCCTTGGAAGAGGGGATTCAGCCATCAGGCACTTGGCTGCGATCTCTGGAAGAGTTGGAGCCAGGCTTATAAATTGTCACTAACACCAAGCAGGTGATGTACGTGGTTAAGAAAGCAAGCTTGGTGTAAGCCCGTCTTCAGCCTATAACAGATTGGAATACCTAAAAAGGGTTCTAAAACTTGCCCTGTGAAATAGTCTTCCTGCGCAGCCTTTGTAATGTATAGGACCATAAGTGGAATCCTGAACCCCATCTAGAACCTTCTGAGATGTGACATTCCTACTTGAAAGGACAAGCAGACCAACCTGGAAGAACTAGAGGAGCAGAAGATACATTTTGAAAGAAAGACTAGCAGGAAAAATCCAAAACAAAAATGGCAGTCTAATTGGCTACTATAAGAACAAGCAAGTTGTTTGCCAGGGAGCCATCAAGGCAAGCAATCAAGTCCCTTCAGGACAAACCCCCCTTCAAGACTGAAACTCAAAGGGAACACATGAGAAGGCATGTAGGCTTGCTGGTGACCACGTTGGTCTGCTGGTTAGTGGAAGAGGGGGAAAGGCAGCAATGAAGATATGGGCTGAGTTCGAGCATGTTCCATAGACTCCCATTGACCTGGAGATGAGAGAGAGAAGAAGGGCTGGTTGGTCCATAGTATGGTGAGACCTGGGGACTTCTGAGCCCATGCACAATGACATAGCCAAGGAGGGCTAGAACTGAGAGCATCCAGATGATGTGAAGTGAGGGAAGACACACAAGAACACCCAAA